TATGAAGCAAAATGTTGGAGAGCTCCTTCAATACTGGAAATCAAATTAAATCTAGACATTTTTTAACAGTCTTGACAGATATAATCCTAGTTACCATGTAAATTTATGGTAAGCTGCTGTGATATTAGCCACAGGTGCTACTTTTAATATATGGCCCGCATCTGGCTGGGAATAAAATTTCTCAGAGGACTGAAAATGACCTCACTATCAGACAATGGAGAAGAAAAAAAAAAAAACAAGACCACTGTGGCATATAAAAAGCTGGAGATGTGGCCCACAACCGAATATTTTACATGAAATTCATTTTAACTCTGCAGACTGTAGGTTAAAGGCTATTATGTTTTCAATACGTAAAAGGCGTGGACATATTTCAGCCAAGCAGCCAAAAGATTATGTCCATAAAGCAGCAATGAAATCCACTGCCTACACATATAAAAACAAATTTTCCAATACCTTTGATCAACACAGAGGACAAAGCAACGTGCCGGAGGAGAAAAGGGAAGTATCAGCACAGCTCCAGCTGGAGCACGGGCACAGCACCGATTCCTGCTAGAGAGCTGGCAAAGCTGGAAGGGACATGCAAAGGGAGAATAATAATTTATTTAACAGCTCCAAATTTTTTGCACATCTTTAAGTAAGCTCTTAAAACACAAGGCTGCCCAACTGCAATGAAACACGTGCTTCCGCCCTCCCCGAGCCATCCTCCAAAGCGTTTCCTCACTGTCATCTCCACTCAGGCTCATCCTTCACCTGTGTCCTGCATCCCCAAAACACAAAACACGTTTAAAATAACCCTAAAAAAGTCTTAGAACGTTTGATTTCCTGTCATTTCACAAAATGACATTAGAGGTCTTACAGAGACTTCCTATGTGAAATTTAGGAGAAAAAAAAAAATCTTAATTAAAAACTTACCCAGTAAAAGAAAGCAGCTGTAAATACTGAACCTGGCCATCAGCAAACATGCCCACCTTCGTAATTTCCTAACTGCATTTTCTGCTTTGGCGTGATTACCTAAGGAAATGCAATCACACAGGCAGTTGCCCCTTAAGCCCTCCAGCCAAATCCAGCCAAATTTGACAAGAACCATGGAAGTCTTGGCGTTGTGATGTTCCTGCAGGTCTGGCAAAAATGAGCAGAGGGACAAGGGACCCCAACCTGCCGCAGAGACGGAGCTGGGAACGCATGAGAGGAGCTGGAGGTATCGCAGAGCTGGGGCAAAAGCCACGGAGGAGAGGGGCCGGGAGGACAAATCCCTCGAAACCCAGGTCTCAGCTGTTTCACTGCTCCCAGAGCAGTTTCCTTGCTCCGCAGGCATCACCGCTGCCCGCAGAGACCGTGTAAGAAACTTTTCAGGAGACTTTCAACAGAACTTTTGCATTACTTCTAAATGCGCTTTGTGCAAACAGGAAGGCATGGCATTTTCAGCAGAAATTCTGCTTTTTTAAGGTCTGTCCCCTTTGACTGCTCACTCCTCCCAAAGCGTGCTGAACTGACATACTGGGGAAACTCATGGAAACTCCTGAGATCCAGACCAGGACTCTGAGGTCTGCAGCACGCCACCCTCCCTCGATGATCAACTCTTAACATTTAGCCCTAAAGTTTCTGCAGTTTCTTGTCTGGGATCCCAGCAGCACCACCAGGGGTTGCTTGCATTTCTGTCCCTATTCTGAATGCTGCAGAGGTCTCACCCTACAGACAGGAGGTGAACGTTTTGTGTCCATCACCCAGGGACGTGCAGGCTCTGCAGCACGCCCTCCTGATGGCACAAAGAGGCCCCAAAGCCTTGGCAACTTCTTCTGCTCTTCCTTTCTCCCCACAGCGGCTCTCTGCAACACATTTCAGGGGCCAGATTCTCCCTCCTACAAGAGAGAATAGGAAGAGCAGAGGAAAACCAAGAAGTGATGCATGGGAAAGGTGGAATTGGCACATCAATAGGGCCAGCACAGCCAGGCAACGTGTTCTCCTCTACAGCTGAGCTGTGTTTGTATTTCTTCCCTCTACTGAGCACATTCTGTATTTTCTCCAAGAACATACCCACCACAAGCCTACCTCACCCTAAAGGAAGACAGAACATGGATCTTTGGGGAGGACGCAGAAAATCCTTGTCTGGCGACATGACCATGCTTCAGGGACAAGCTGCAGGGGACGGGGAAGGGACATCACCAGCAGTAACACCATGGTGGGAGAGGAACCAGCCATGCCCAGGAAGGAGCAGGACCCAGGATCGGTGCACAGTGGGTGCCCACAGCTCACAAACAGCTTCCAACGGGGGCTTCAGGCCGCTTTCCAGCTTGTTTTAGGGAATTGTGCCTCCAAAGCCCATTTTCATGAAAATGTATCTTCAGACTAACAAACAGCATCAGCAGTTTCAAGCTCTGTGTTACAAAATAATTCCATAAGCCAGAAGTGTCATTAGCTTGTCAGTTGTTAAAAAGGCAGCCCATTTCTGATCGCTTTTAACCGAGCTAATCTCAGCCTGAAAGCTTCAGGAATCTAAATAACTCTTGTTTCACAGAAGTTTCATTTCATTCTCATGCTGAAAATAATATACATAAACCAAGTTCATGTCTACACATTTGCAGGACTTTATAATAAAAGTTGTGTTTATATTCTTAACATCTGTTGACATACACAGACTTTGTAAACCTGGCATAGATTTTAAAGCCACAGAATTTTCCATGCATCATGAACATTATCTGTGAGAAGCAATAAAAAAAGCAATGAATACATTAATCATACCAATATCATCTGCAAAGCATAAATCTGAAAGACCTTTCATGTCAGCTCCACTACTCGGATTTTTACACACCTGATTTTATGCCATCTGCAACGAGCAGAAGGAAGACCACTGAGGAAATAACATTTCTCAGTGCTCTGACGTCTCCTGAATACTCACACTTTAAATATTGTAAACAGAGAACCTACTACAGGAAATAAAAGGAGTTGCACCTAAAAGCCTCGATCCTAACTGGAGGCACACAGAGGACCTGTCTCCGGTTTGCCCCCCCAGCAGAAAGCCCAGGTGGGCTCTGATGGCCCCAGCATGATGCCTGTGAAGGGCACCAAGGAACGGCACAGACTACACCAACACCTTCCAAGCAGTTCAAGTGGCATTTTCTTTTTTTTGAGTACCATTTCTAAGATGACACGTTAGAGGTATTCATGTATACTTCTTAATTTACCGAGTATACTCAGTTCTGTATACTGGCAAACGCTTCATCAATCTTCAAGTTAGGAAGACCAAGAATATCCACCTATTTCATAAGATCAATCTATACAGTCAAAAAAAACAAACAACAACTTTCTAGGTTTTTACTGAAGCAGTGGGTTTTCTGGGTATCTGCTGGTGGGCCCCCCTGCCTTGTCTCTTGACCTGTCCATTGGCACACTGCCCAAGTCCATCCTGTCAAATCAACTTCTTCACTTACAGCGTGCAAAAACACTTTTCATTAAGTTTCGAATAAAACTATGGTTGTGCTGAACCAACAGATTTTGACCTTGTGCTGGCAGGGACAGCGTTTCATGAATATCTTAAGCACAAAGGCCAACCCCCCACCCTGCATTGCCAAGTCTATCTCATCATGTCAAGCATGCTGTCCTCCTCCTGGTGGTTCCAGCTCCTTGAGCTGCCTTTGCACCTCCCCAAGGTTTCATGTGAGCTCCCTCTCATGGACTTCCCCATCTGCGTTGCCTTAAGAATTAGTTGATAGGGTTTTATTTGTTCTATATTAACCCTCAGGACTGAAGTGCGATCCAGGACACATGTGCCCAGGGCTCTGTCTGTGCTCACTGACCAGCTCCTGGGCTGTGTTTCCCTGACGTTATTCTCTCGTTTTCCTTCGCCCTGCTCAGAGCAGCCCAGGAGCTCTGCTCCCACCTGCTCTCTTCTGCCCAGGCTTCCCAAACCTGGAACAGCACAAACACAGCCAGCGTTACGAATCATGGTTTATCTAGCTCATTGGGATTTCCCAAAAACCTTGGTCTGGGTTTAGGCAGTGCCACATAAATTAATGGACCTCACTCAGTCACTACACACAGAAAAAGGCACGGCCTGAAGCCTAGAGCTGGCAACATCCTTCCCGCGGGGAGAAAAGGGCCACCTTGGAGAGCAATCACCTTAAGAAAACCCTGCGTGTCCTCTGCCACCCAAGGAAGTGCTCACTGCGCTCTCAGAAATAAAGCAGAATGGGAATTGTCCTCCATCCATTTCACACTCTTACTGTTTTCTGTTATTTTTGTCATTCCCCTCCTGTCCTACTAATAAATTGTTAACATATTATAACTCTCTGCAACTTTGCTCAGAAGAAAAAGACTGAATTTATGCAATCTCAAGCAAAATTCAGTATTTCCAAAGAAAGTTTGTAACCATTGTCACAGACACGTTCTTACAATTTGAAACGTGGCCAGGACTTGGACTTCAAATACAAACCTGGCAGGGTCTGACCAGGAATCTGCTGTACCGAAGACATCACGAGATCAGCTACAACAATTCATTCAAGAATACGTATCAGACTTCTGGCTTTCTGCTTAGAAGGTGAAATGTGTGCTGTTTTTCCCACCTTGTTTCCCAAAAGTTTGTGTTCTTGTATTTACCCATTTTTCTCATTTTTTCTGCACAAAAAAATAAAGAATGAACTCCACTATCCAACGTTTATGTATTTCTAGTAATAATTCGAGAGTGCTAGTAATGAAAAAAAAATCAGGATTAAATATTATTTGTCTAATCCCATAATACCAACCCTGACCTTGACCCTAATATTATAATCAAGAAATTACCATGTTAGAATAATAAATCTAGTTAACAACTACAAAATGGATTTAATTTACTCCACCTAATGAGATTGGAATCAGAGACCAATTCACTGAGACAAACCCAACAGGGCTGGCCCTAACAGGATACTCCCAGCTTTCAGAATACAAATACTTTCCCATCAGGACCATATGGAAATTAAAGCAATTATATTTCCTTTATATTAAAAGTGGTATATAACAATAATTACCTGATTAAAATTTTTGAAGTTGAATTCTTTGTAGATGGCATCTCTTTCACCTAGCTCAGACCAGCCTGAAGCTTTGAGATCCAGTAAAACTTGGTTCCTCTCCTCTGTTGTTAGCCAATGAGACTGGGAAGACTATTAAAGAAAAACAAATAAAACCCATTACAGTAGTGAGACTGAGGTTCCTTTGTACAACAATAAGAAAACCGCACGATGAAATGACAGTGATGTATTGTAGAGAAGTAAATATTTAAGACGCAAGAGGTGGAAAATTCACTGTAGTGTGTTTTATTTTTTATAATTTCAGAGAGCTGCTTAACTCACGGAACTTATAACACCAAGAAGCACGGCTTCTGTTTGGTCAGCTAAATTTGGATAAATGTTTTTGTACAAACTAGACAAGAGCATCAGGCTGTTTCACGGCAATGAACACGGATAGCAGCATACCTGTGCCCAGTACCTCATTCATCTGAATTGTCCAGATGCTGTAGCACTTTAATTGATTTTCAGCTATTCCACTTTGCTTTATAGATTAGAGATTATTTACATGATACGCTAAATGTGCAATTACAAGGCTAAAAGTTGTATCAGGGGGATATCTGAAATTTAAAAGGCAGAAACAACAATAATAGATAGTATTATACACAACTTGTACTTTGTTATTCCTAGAAAAGCAGGAATAGATTTAAAAATAGCAAGCACAGTGTAATACTAAAAGCAACAGAGAGCTTCTTAACTAAGGGTGGAAAGAAATACAAATGATAATACAATTACAAGTTACAATCTAATGGTATTAGCACACGATTCTGCAGAGCACGTTTGTTCTGGTACGCCTTATTTTAAACAAAAGGAGCCCTCCTGAAGCCACTGGGACACAGACAAGGCCAAGCATGTGAGTGGAGAGTTAGATTTGGGATCAGACTGGTCCCAAGTTCACGCTACGAAGCAAGGCTGGAAGGGGAGGATGCTCGGTGCTGGAGCAGCCTTCAGAGGGCTTGCAGGTAGGTGCGATGCGCTGGGTGTCAGGGCTCAGCACCAGCACCCCCAAAACACGCCCAGCACCCCAAGGCCACCGCCGGGGCTCTGCAGCTCGGAGCTGCTGCGGGTCCCAGCGGCAGCCCCCGGGCCACCAGGTGGTGCTGTCAGCCTGGGCAGCGCAGAAATTAGCGCAATTAATGCCGCCCCAGCAAGATTTGAAGCTCTTTCTCCATTAGCAAGTGGAGCCTCGCGGGAGCTAACAGCAGATGCATGGAGAAAATAATTGAAACTTCTGCAATGGCCAAAGAGCAACATTTTCACCAATAATTTGGGACAGAGATACGTGGCAGCATCACTGCAATCATCTGTGCTCAGTGGGACGCCTCATTTACAAGAGGTGGGCTTTATGCACCCCACTTTTTGCTTCAGATTTTAACTTTGGGCTTGCAGCAGCACAAGCGCTGAACGCGGCACTGCTGCAGCAGCAGGCGCAGGCAGGAATTCCTCAAGCACATTTAAGTATTGCCGAAGCTCATCCTAAATTTGCCCAGAGCTGTTCTCTGGCAAAAGGTGAAACCCGCAGCTTGTCACAGAGAACTCATGGGGGGAGATTTTTGGAGGTTGCAAAGTCCAGGGCTTGCGTGGAGGAGGCAGCACAAAGTCCATGCCCTGGCTGGAGGGGAGATGTCACCGGCTTGGCCTCGGGGACACCACAGCCACCTGCCCACGGCCTCGCTGGGGCGCGTGGATGTCCTAAACCTGCTCATGTCCCCCGTGATATAAATACGGAGCGTGATGGAGCCTTGGGTGCACGCTGATCGTGGCAGCTCCCACCACGTCCAAGCCAGCTGTGCCCACAGCCCCCTGCTTCAGCAGGGCACGGACACACAGCAGGAGCTGGGGGCGCAGCGTGAAGCCCAGGGGCCTGCAACATGCGAGGGTGCAGCAAGAATTAAGGATTTAGGGAACACACAAGCAGCAGAGCGACACAGCAGGATGGGCACAGGGGGGTTAATTAGCACGCCCAATTAGCCACGCAGTCATTCTACTAAAAGAACAGCCCCAGCTGGGGCTGCCCCACACCCACACCCACACAGGGAGGAAAGGCCCCGAGATGGCGGCGCGGCCCCACAGCGCCCGGCCCCGGCCCGGCCTCACCATGGCGGCCCCGCTGCCGGCCGCGGCTCCCCGGCTCCCCGCCGCCCTCCCGGCTCCCAGCAGCAGCCGCAGCCCGGCCCCGCCGCCCCGCATCGCCCCCGGCCCCGCCGCCTGCGGGCAGCGGGAGGAGCCCGGTGGTGGGGGCGGGACGGCAGCGGGCACCGAGGCGTTTTGGGGGAGTTTTGGCCGAAATTTGTCGCCCCGAAGGCCTCAGGGGGGTTTGGGTTTATGGGGAGGGAGAGGATTGCTCGAGGCAGGAGGTCTGCAGCTCCCTCATCGCTCAAAAGCGTCAGGATTTGGGTTATTAATGAAATACTTCCCATCTTTATCTGCACAGTACTACCTAAGTTGTATCGGTGCTTTTACATGCAGAAATACAGGACCTGGCCTTTCCCAAGCGGAAAGGTTCAGGCAGCAGAAAAGTTCCCAAAGCATTCCGACATGGGGAGAGGAGCTCTTTGTCAACAAATCTTGTGAATAGCTTTGTTGCTTCTTACTTTAATTCACACCCTAAAACTTCATGGCAGTGTTTATATGTGGCAGACGTTTGCTCTAACACCCTGAGTGATAAAGAAAAAAAAAAAAAAAAAAGTATATTTCTTATATAAACTGATCCATGCTAATCAAAACTCAAAAAAAAAAAATCTACATGCTTCACCTCCAGGCTTTGCAACCTGCAAACACATTAGTAGAGTTTAAATAAATCTCAAGACTTGTTTGCTAATTTAGATAGGTGATCTTCATTTCCAGTCATCTTTTCAATGCTTTAAGTGCCTTGAAAGATTACACTAAAAATTTGATTTTTTTTTTTTTTTTTGAAAAGTAAGGACAATGAATGCAACTTCATTCTAGAGGGAAGTGGTAAATAAATGCACACACACAATGAGGTAGGCCTTCAAATGGTTCTACACCTTACAAAGAACTGCCACCAAGTCAAAAGTCATGGAATACAGCGAGCACCTAACCCCCGTGTATCATAGGCGGAAAACAGTCACCTGGCAAGAGCTGTAAAACAAATTTCAGAATTTTTATTATTGCTGGTATTACTGTACCCCACAGTACAAAGCAAATACATACAGTTAATATTAAAATCTTTTTGAGACGGTGGAATAACTCATTTGAAGTACACTGTGTTTTAAAACTTATTCTGCCTCTTCGTAGTTCATTTTACTGACAAAATAATTTAGTAACATCACCATTCACCAGCATATCCCTGTAAGGTTTTATTGTTTCAGGAATACATAAGCAAAAAGTTGAGTACGATCCGTGTGGGCCAATACATCCTAATTCCACCAAGCTTACCACATCGTCCATGTGGAAGCATAAATTCATACATCCATAGGTTCTGTACAAGAAGATTCCATCATTTCATCAAAGCAACTCGACTCCTGAGCCGAGCAGTACCACGAACACAGGCCGATGTCCTGTAGAAATCTTATCCTGTCTACAAAGTCTGGGGACCTCTTCAGAAGAGCCAAGTAGAACTGTATCACGTATTTACATTAAAGTTCATGAAAAATAAGCAGGTCAGAGAACTTCAATAAATACTTTCTTAGTTTGTGTTTCTTCGTATTTGTTTACTTACTGCTTTAATTGCCTCAGCTGGCATTTTACAGATTCAGTAGTTGATAAATAAAGCCAATTTTGAGTCAACATTATGAATTACAACCAACAAATTCAATAGTTCATTCTTATGTAGTTCCAGTCCGCACAACTTCCCACTTAACCAACACCCAGGAAATTTTGTCCATGTTTCAGCATCTCAGATTATTCTTGATGTTCATGCTCTTGCCCTGGGATCAGCCACCGAATGCTCTCAGTTCGAATGGTAGCATACATGATAAAGCTAGCCAGAAAGAGCAAGGAAAACAGGAGCAGCCAGTCTATTCCTTTGGTCAGGACACTTGGCAGGGGCCCAGCCCAGTCTTCCTCCGTCACAGTCACATCATTTTTAGCTTCTATACCTGAAAAAGAAAGCATTTGATCAACCCCCGTAATGATCGTTAAATATAGAGAAGCTTTATGTATTTGGAGCTTTGTTCTCGTTCTCAAATTAAGGCATGTGCACAGTTAGACTCAGCATTTTGCTGACAGTCCTTGTATTTTAACACGTTGAGTATGTAGTTTGCTAATGTAAAGGCAAAATATTATCAAAATGTATGCAAATGTTTTTAACAGGAAAAGGGTTGTTTTGTTCTTCCACAGCAGGGCCTTTTGTATGTTTGCAGGGGGTTTGTTTTAAAATATCTCTGCTGCATTAGCAAATATAACACCTTCTGGCCTCTAATGGAGGCTGGCATAGGCCTGTGCACGGGGATTTTGTTTTCCTTCCCAAACACAGCACAGTAGGACCAGAGAGGCACAGAGCTCACAATGTTGACAGCCATATCAAGGAAACTGGAGTCCTTTTGTCCCCTCTAGCACAAGAACCAACATTGTCTTTTTCCCCAACTGCCATGCATGGCAATGTTCCCACGGTTTACCTGCCTTTATTCCCAAATTAAATATTTGTGTGTGAAGATGTGCTCAGTCCCTCTTAGCTAAACCCCTCAGTTTCCCCCTTCTCTGTGAAAGCAACCCAATAAGTTCCTGGTTTCAGCGTGCCCCAAAACCCAGCAGACTGCAGCCACCTCTGCCAGATCCTCTCAGGGTTTTCATCAAAGTCATCTTAAATAACAACCAGCAAGAGGAAGAAAGCTGCATTTGGAGGTAAAAGCCAACCTGTTCTTCATGCATCAGAGCTGATTTACAAACCTGTTTGATTAAAAATGAAGTCTTTCAATGTTTCCAGCGTTCTGTCTGTATGATTAAATCTCGCCATAGGTTTAGCGCCTTGGAAAAGGAGGATATTGGGCACAGCTACAGTTCCAAACCTAGTTGATAAACTGTCAAACACAAAGCAAATATAACGTATAAAGGAAAAGAAATCCACTGGAGAAAGAAACAAAGATAGCCACAATGTGTCAGTTTTACTAAATTAATTTCTCCCTTCATAAGGGAGAAATTCATGTAACCACTTTGTGCAGTATTAAGGAGGTTTGCTAATGAATTATGTCAATAATGTAAGATTCAGCAGTGAATCAGTATGTTGCTTCTTCACACGTGTATTGCATGCATACAAATTTTGTTATCAAAGGATATATATGGGGGTGAATGGAATATTTAGCACTTTTCAGAATAATGAAACCCAAGTTAGATAACAGAACACAACTTCCAGGTTCATTATAGCTGTTGATAGAGTAGCAGTTCCTTTCTGTAAAGTTGTTCATAGGAAAAAAAAAGGAAAGAGCACAGCCAAAAATAAAAGGAACCCATAACTATTTATATTAAACATTAAAACAAAATACTGCTGTTTTTAAAACACAAAACTTGCTATTGTAAATAAGACATCAGAGGATAGGACATGTAAATTACCTGCTATGTTGTGATGCGTCCAGTGCCAGGAAGCGCAGAGTTGGAAATGCTCGAGGTAAAGAATTAAAATGAGGGGCCAGGCTAACAGAAAAGCGGCACCACGGCGTGTAGAACAAGACTAAGGTACAGTCACTGCTGTTTGGGTTTAGGAACTCCATCAGATCCTTAAAGAAAGCAGAACAGACACACATAATGAAACATTTAATAGCATAATCCTACGTAGAAATGCATCGTTCAGCAAACAATTAGATACTTGACAAGATTTATCGAGTAGCTGCACATTTGTTTTAAAGCTTTTTAAAATAAACAGACAGGTGTTTAAGAGAACCTTTTCAAGAGGTTAAACAAATTTATTAATTAAAAAAGCATCCTTTATTACAAGAAAGAGCTAGAAATAGGCACTGGTACTGGATATAAGTGCCATTAACAATTCCAGATACACTAATGCACAGCACATGAAAGCTGACAGGCACACACAGGCTCGTGGATTGAGCCATTTCTCCACTATTTCTACTCAGAATGACACAAACAGCTTTCTCACCCAGATTTTTTCCCTTGTTAATATCAGAAAGGCTGTAACGCACGGAAATCCACCAAGTCAAATACTGAAGAAACAGACACGCAGCACAGAGCCCTAAAACGGGTGGCCTGTTTACCTGGGACACGTTCAGGATCTGCAGCGTGAAGTTGCTGATCCCAGTCACGTTCCTCTCCTCGCAGGCCACCTTTGGGGTCTTCACGCTCTCGGTGCTGTTGGGCTCCTCAGCAGTGCCGGGCAGCACAGTCTCCAGCACGACGGGCGAGCCCACTGCGTGCTCATGGCCCTGCGTGTCGGGCTGAGCAAGGGGAGCTGAGGGCCTGCTCCCTGCTTCACACTCCCCACTGCCACCTGCTGCTGCCTCACAAGTCCCAGTCGTGGTGGAAGCAGACTCCTGCTCTTCCTTCGCATCCCCCAGCACCACTGAGAGCCCCTTGGCCTGCTGGGCTGGGAGCCCGCTGCCCAGCATCGCGTCGGCCATTTCTGCAGTCCGGTACCGCACCGCTTCACCGCCACCAACCTGCGCGGAGCCAGCAGCAGCAGCAGCTGGGGGGGTCCCCGCGGCGCTCAGCTCCGTCACATCCCCTGCACCGGAATCACAGAATCATTAGGGTTGGAAATGCCCTCCAAGATCACCTGGCCCAACCACCCCCTACCACCATCACCCACTAAACCATGTCCCCAAGCACCACGCCCAGCCTTTCCTTGAACACCCCCAGGGATGGTGATGCCACCATCTCCCTGTGCAACCCATCCCAATGCCTGACTGCTCTTTCTGAGAAGAAACATCTCCTCATTTCCAACCTGAACCTCCCCTGGCACAACTTGAGGCCACTCCCTCTGGTCCTATCACGGGCTATCTGCGAGAAGAGGCCGGCCCCCAGCTCCCCACACCTTCCTTTCAGGTACCTGCACAGAGCACCGAGGCCTGCCCTGAGCCTCCTCTTCCCCAGACTGCCCCCCGCAGCTCCCTCAGCCGCCCCTCACGGGCCTTGTCCTGCAGGCCCTCCACCAGCGCCCGATGCCCTTCTCGTACTGAGGCCCCAAACCGAGCTCAGCACCGAGGGGCGCCCTCGGGCTCGGAGCATATCAGAGGGGAGACACCAGCCCCTCTCCCCGGCCGCCCGCCGCCCTCACCGGCCGCCAGGGCCCCGCCGAGCCCGGCCAGCGCCAGCAGCAGCCGCCACATCCCGGCCCCGCCGCGCTCCGTCTCCCCGGACAACCGCCACTTCCGCCGGGGCTCCGGGATCCGCTTCCGCTTCCGGCGCGGCCCCCGCTTCCCGCGCCTGCGCAGTGCGCGGTGGCGGGCGGGCGGGAGAGAGGGCCGCGGGCGCCATCTTGGGCGCGCTGAGGCGGGTGCTGCCCCGAGAACGCCTCGAGGTTCAGGTGGGGTTATCCGCAAACCACCGGGGCTCAGCGCTCCAGGACAATAAAGTGTTCACATAAACTGCACATAATAAAGAACTTTTACCCAATTTTCTCGCTTTTGCCCCCCGAAGCGCCCTTCTGTCCCCCGGGGCAGCAGCCTGGGACTGCTTCCACCTCCTCACGGTGGTTTGGCTCCTGAGGAGCTTTTACGGACAGCCATGGGTAAAAAGCCCACAGACTACAGGCATACGTGTGTGTGTGTATCTGTCATATCAAGCAAAGCTTCCAAGCTGAAAGGCAAGATAAATACTAAAAAAAAATAATAAAATCCTGTCACAGAATTAGTTCTATCTCACTTTCAGTTTAATATTGAAGCTTCATGACTGTTTGGGACGTGTCAGAACTGAGCCAAGAGCATGACCTAGGAGAGTAGGCACCACACATACATACTGGGGAGAAAAAAACACCCAGGAAAACACTGCATGCACATAAATTAATATGGATGTCAGAGCTTTATTATGGAAATGGGATTTGTGTCTGCTTTTACTGTGGGGCACATCAACTCCTTTCTTGTAGTGCACCTTTTCTTTCTTGGAAAAGTGTTTTTATTTTTCTTACCTTCCAAGTCCCATTTGCATGAATATTAATACTGAAACTATGGTAGCCTAAAGATATAAAACATAAGTGAGGCTTGCAAATAGAAACTATTTAATTAGACTGGTTGATACAGATCAAGCAAGCAAACTTGAGAGCCAACACACATAGGAATCCATGTTGCTGTGGGCTAGTCAGGAAAAAGCTCCTCCAGCCCTATTTGTGGCAAGAAAAGTGGCATTTTTAAGCTCAGCCCCATTTTCTGCCTCCTGGTGAAGGACTACGTGTGGCTGCTGCTCATGGCTCTGTGCCATCAGCCTTAGAGTCCTTCACCTACCGCTGCCCTGGGTGGTGTCAGATCTCAAACATGAGCGATGGCGTTCCAGATCTCTAACAGATAGCTTTGTGGCAAAATACCTGCATCTGAGACACTTCTCAGATTTAATCCTAACATAATATTCTTCCTACCAGAACAGAAAGCAAGAAGTTTGTGCAATATTGCGTACTTTTTATGCTGATGTTAAAAAAAGCATTAATGTAACAAATTAACTCCCAAGAGGCTTTATACCTAAGTCACAACAAATGTACTAGCCCAGTGCTTACACATTATACAGACAAGGCACATTAAGATGCCTGCCAGTTTTGTTGCATAAGTGTTCGGTGGCTTACATTTTTCTGATTTTTAATGCAAAATGTCTGTTTTAAGGAAAAACTAGTAAAAAAAAAAATACATTGTTTTGCATCTATTCAAAAATCTTGGATACAGTAGAATAGCTCTGTTTGTTAGGGAAGGATCTGAAATTTAGCAAAGGGGAGGATTTGCGTAACTGAGTCTTTTGTTGCATCCATGGATATACACCAGAACTTCGCGGTCATCTGTGCATCTTATATTGCAGCAGCTGAATTTCACACACTACCACGGATTTCAGTAATGCTGGGCAAGCTCCTTCACAGGCATCGTGGCAAGAAAAGGAGTGAAAGAGACTGGGACAGAGACAATGCCATGGTCTTCAAGACAAGTTTCCACTCCTGTGTAATCCTGACACGTCCTCACAGCTACAATTTTCTGTGTATTCAACAGCACAAAGATTAGGTAGGAGAAAACAAGACAAGCATTTGAGTTGGAACACAGGCTGAGGTTGCATGAACAACTTCAACCTACACCTGAATTTGGGATGTGTGCCTTTGTAATCTTTGTTTTCTCAACATGGCCGCAGTTGAATATTTAAGAACATGACCACTTGAAACAGCAAATACACTTTTTAGTTCTCAAAGGCCTACTCTAAATAATCAAACTCGCACTAATTGTTACTGTGATATTTTTTCACTAATTAGAACAAGCTTTTGTGGTATGGAGAAAAAAAAAAAAAAGCAACATGAAAGGCAAGAAGATTTATCTGCCTCAGATCATTTAAATAACACCTAACAACTCCACAACATTTTTCAGCTTCAAAGTAGTTAAAAGTTCTTATCTAATGATTCCTTCCAGCAACCTTGCAAGATAAGCCACGTATCTATCCACTCATGGGAAAAAATGAGCCCTCGTCATCCTTAGGCCACGCAGGGAACCTGGGTGACAGCCAGCTGCAGAAGGCAGTAGCTTTCGGGCTGCCAATCCAGTATGGTCAGGCCCCACCTCTCTTAAATGTTAAACAATAAACACAGAGCCACAGGCAGAACTCTGATAAAAATAGCACACAATGAAAGTCAGCCCTTTACTTTTAGTTATTACAACTTTACATGATTAACAGTTAAAACAATTTTCATTCGTCTTGGTCCAAAAAGACACACCACTGAGCTATCATACTGCATGGGTCTGATACTGCTAATTCACGGTGTACTATTTGAGCTACTTGAAGAGATACCATCGAGACAGGTATCTTCCAAAAGCAAAAAGATGCCAGTCCAGCACCGAAGCAAGCTTTGGTGTCTAATCATACCCATAAATGGAATTATCAGAAAGATATAACCACCTTAAAGCTTCCTTTAAGACATCCAACTTGTGAAGCAAACAAGCCAACATTGCCGGTCTGTCTGCATGAATAAATCATAAACTGATTCTGTCATCAGAAACACAGCACCTGGCATCGCACACCAACTATATACCGAGGGAGCAGATCGCATTGCAATTTTTATCTTTCAGTTTATTACACAACAATCATGCAAGCAGAAAAGCACCTTCCAACACAGATAAAAAGCCTGAATTGTTGCATGGTATCATTTATCAATGACAACATCCAATGCTCAAGGTTTCATTAAAAAAAAAAAAGCTCACTTCCTTCAAGAAATCACATCCAGCAACTGATCTTTATACCAAAACACAACAGACTGTAGTCTTGTGAATGTATCCAGTAAAATGAATCTGTTGAAAGCCAAACATTTACAATAAAAAAAAAAAAAAAAAAAAGCATGTATTTTCTGATCTTTTCTGATTAAAAGCAACTTGAAGTCTGTATAGAAGCTTCAACTATGATTTCTAAAATGTTTCAATACTAGAAATATTTGTGGTCTCTGGAAGTACATGGAATAGAAAATGGATGGTGTTGGGGAGCAAGGAAAGGAAGCAGTCCTGGCAAACTGGATTGTAGCTTTGCATCCATCGGACTGCCCATCTTGCCGCATAGTTATTGAAAACCTTCAGTAGAGGGGCAAAACCAAGGGGGGGTCAGTTGTATGCAGAGCACATAAGCAATAAAAATAAACTAGAATATTGCTAGGATGGAAGGATAAATATGGTATTCAGTAATGAATAATGACCATTATGCCATTAAAATCTAAGTGGGCAAGTACTCTCAAACTGATTCCCATGTGCAACAGAGAAAGAAAGTTAACAACTTACTACACATGCATACACAGCACTCATTCCCTTCCTTGTTTCTTCTCATATCTGAGTGAAGGGATAAGAACGATTAAGTCACTGCTGCAGTACTTTCAATTTATTGAAAAATGAGGAACATTCCTCTATTTCCGGGTACCTTGCAACCCATTCAGGCTTTTTGCCTTAATGCAAATTATGGGACTTGCCTATAATAAGCAATACACATCTCACGTGAAATTCAGAAAGCAAAGCATGCTGGAAAGGTGGGCTTCTTTATTTCATGTAATCTTGCACAGTAAGTGGTCCTGCAACTCTCACAGATCTTTGTGCATTTTTAAGTCCACACAAGCACAAACACAGTCTGTTGGAGCTAGATTCAGCTACACTTCAGGGAGGCAAGGGACAAAGCAGAACAGATCATTTGATTTTAAGCAAAATCTGTACAAGTTGTACTTTAATATTTTACACTTACCTACGACTGAGACGTCGGGAGAACAAATGGTGAAATCACTGCATTTCCATTTAAAACAGAGACAGGTTAAAGTTATTGGTCTGGTATGCTGCCAATAGGAATCTTAAGCCAGAATTTAAAAAATATATATTAACAAAAGAGGGAAAAAATGGTTAGGTTTTAAAGTATTAACTTTATTAATAAATATACATCCATATGATGATGTAAATACAGATCATGAACACTACTCCATTCCCATACACATAATTGCACACGAGTAGCTCAAGTTCATGGACATAAAAACATACACAGTATCTAATCAGGCTTTTTACAGCAGAGGACAGGGTGCTGATACTAGTTATTTAACAGATTACTGTTTCCCCCAAAGTAAACCTGTGGAAAAGCAAATGATGAAAGATTAAAATATCATAAAGTGGTTCAAACTTCAGAATACAGACTTATCTATTTGGAAAAAAAAAATCACAAGGAGAAAGGTCTAGTCTCTACTAAAGTCATAAATATATTTAAGCAGTGTTAAAATATATGCATTAAAATAGAGAAGAATAAACTTCTTTTGTGGTCAGAAATTAAGTTTGCAGTTCAAAGTATTTACGATTATTATCAATTGTTTTAACTGTCAACTCTAGGGATAGCATGAAACGTTATTATACACACAACAAAGAACGGCAGAGTCACAGCTAATGAAGCCATCAGACAAATGACTTCACATTGCTCTCTGCCTTTTAAAGCTCTTCGAAAATGGGGGAGGGAGTTCAATTCACATCTGAATTACTCTGTGTATTGTAGTTCCAAGTAATTCTTTTCACATCACTTTTCACCGACAAGGCTTGGTTTTGTCCTGACTCTTAAGTTCTTTCAGACGAAATGAAAATATATTCATTCGGAACAGAGATCTTTAATGGCTCTCGATACATAGTTATTCTGAATAGTCTAAACTAAATCCAAGATATAAAGAACATTGCCTTAGTGACAAGGCTAACAGCTGATTTTAAAAATACTATATTTAATATCAAAGTTAGCCACTTCTGATGGTATCTGTTTTATTTCTGCCAAAATATGGTGCTAGCATCTTGAATATGTCCAGTGCAAGACTTTATAGTAGCAAAATTATTTGGTTTAAGTTTAAGTAAATTTAATCAGAAACTGAATAGTAGTTACTATATGTATATTAAACAGTGAACTTGTATAGCATCAGTAAGGAATAATAGCAAGCGAATACATTTCCTTTATGTATAAATAAGACGTTAGGAACTTGATAATTAAAAGAAATTATTAAAAAACAAACTTGACATGTCGATCTTCTGAACAGTGTTAACACACAACGGTGATCCTAGCTTATGAATAGCTGAATTATGATATATCATATAAAATAAGCAATTTACCTTACAAGTTATGTTTTCATACTATGGGGGAAAAGGCCAGTTTTCCCACTGGTACTAATAAAGTTTAGGCATTAACATGCTGCTTCAGTGTTTATCGTGGAAAGAAGAATGTTTTTTTAAAAAAAGCACAATGTATTCTCTAGATTATACATAGGCAAAGCAGAAGTATTTGAAAATTCCATTCCTTTTTCACTTTGAATCTCTTACTTCTTTTTTTTCATCCCCTCTCAGCATGGCACCAGTAAGCTATGGTCAGATGTAAAATAAACCAGAATTGGGCAATGCCCAGCAGCACACTGCTGGTCTCCTTGCTAAAGCTTGGGTGCCAAGCAGCCCTTTAAAGACTCCACCAACACTTTCCTACTTTATGCTCATCATTTCACAATTGACAACGTTAATTGCTTTTTTACCGGGATTATATTTCATCTGATATAATTAATAAACACTGTAATGAACAGAAATTGCTTAGATGATTTCATTATTTCATCAGCATACTTGAATACAAAATTCATTATACTAGCAGAACAGCAATACATCTGCATTATCTCCTGACACACAGCACAGCACCATTGAGTCGATGCACAAGTGAGAAATGAAACAGGAGCAAACGGGATAAACAGAAGGAGGTAAGAAGTGGAGTTTCTCCAAGGTACAGTGGTGACATGCAACACGTTCCTTGCCAGCGAGGTGTGACACTCCTGTAGTTACTACATTCAGCTGAAGAGGACTGCTTTCCCAGCTGAGTTCAGGAAAGAACTTAAAGCAGTCTTTTGTTGAAAAATCATGATTAAAAACAGCCAATACAGCACGGATCCTGAGGGTGAATTAACTCACGTTAGCATTTTGCATGTGTCAGAAGTGACATCGTTCTGAGAAAGATTGCTAAATTTCAGGCTTGCGAGTTTGTTGAGGAACAGAACGTGTAACTGGATTTCATAGCTTCAGCATGAAGAAACCATTTTAGTAGCAGTTTAGCTGCCATTAGTTCGTGTATCGACTAAGGAGCCATCCAGTACAGTTGAGGTTCATTGTCTTAGTTGCCAGTGCATACACAGTTCCCCAAAAACAATTCAACACACCTATTGTAAAGTACAGCATAAAGTCCAGCTCATTATGTGTTAGGCATCACTGGAACACCTGAAGGCTTGCTGCTTTTTTCCTGATAAAAAAGGTATGAAACATGACATCTGTTTCTTAAGTTGTCATCACTGAAATCAAGAGTTCTCATCAAAATGACAGCAGGCCAGAATAGCAATTACATTAACAAAAATTATCAGTACTATTACTCAATCAGCACAAGCTCTAATTAACCCATTTTCTTCTGCTCCCCAGATTTCCAAGCTGTATATATTCCCACCCCAGATATTTGAAGCTGCAAATTTATCATAAAGTCACATTTTACTTCAAACAACTTAAATATAAACTTTCTTCCAGGTGAAAAAAACACTTTAATTCCAGTAAAAATAAATTTAGAACAAACAATATGCAACATTGAGGACTGTTTTTTTTTTTTTTTTTTTTTGAGTCTAGATTAAAGTATGTGCACATGTTACACACACACACACTCTCTCTCACACTTAAAAAAAAAAAAAATTAAACACACCCAGTTGAAAAATGGAACATTTCTTTTGGAAGGAGGGAAGGTTTTAGTTTGAGTCAAGAAAGGTATTTATAGTCAACCAACAACATTTTTTTTCAGCTTGCATGCATAGATGAATTCCTATGAAGTACTTTATATCTGGGGTCTAGCAGTGCAGTAAACTGCATCCTGTTTGCATCAGCTATACAGTTTGCTTTTATAAATCATGAAAATGGTGTCCTTTGGTAGATATATAACCTTCCATAACTTAAATATAGTATAAGTGTCAAACAATGAAATATCTGTATTTCCAGGAATATCTGGCAAAACTAAGTCTGAAAACTTGGCAACAGTGTCTATTTAAAAAGTTTAATTTGTAAACATTATAGATTAATACTTTAAAAGCTATTAAACTGTCGCCACCTAAGCACAGATTTTAAAGGCAAAAAACAGTGTAAATAGCTATTTACAGATTAAGAATGTACTGTTTAATATTAACCGAGTGCGTAACTGGAATGAACAGTACTTAATTTCTTACAAAATATTTCAAATTTTAAAGAATTATTTGTGGTTTGGTGTATGTACTATCAGGCATTTCAAAATTACATAGCAGAATCATGTATCAGCATAACAAAAAGAACAGCTATCACCTAAAGGCAAACGAGCTTGTATTAATAAGGCGCTGTGAAGCTGTAATGCGCTGCACAAACTTTCAGCTTTCTTTAATCTTTTCAAAAACATTTTTGGAACATTAGTTGAAATCAACTAAATGCTACAACTCCAGAAACAAAAGCCACCTGAAATCAACACTGAAAAAAAAGGTTGTTTTTTGGTCTGTTTTTTTTTTTATAAGTTTTATAAGTATCTGTTCGAGGTCTGTAGAAGCTCCTGCAGGAGTGGAAAACATAGTTTGCTTTCTATTCCTTCCTTTTAAAAAACACACAGGAACTCAGAATTTTGCAGTTGTTACTAGTTAAACAGTTCCAAGCATTTTCTTTATCAAGTAAGAACTCATCTGGATGAGTTCCTTATTGTGAGATAGGCCACATCACGAGCCAACAGCCAGCTAATTCTATCCTCCTCATTTCAATTACTTAACGCATAATCACAAAACTAGATTTACCAGAAACTGAATGTAAAACTAGGAACACGAATATTACTCAGAGACACCATGGTATATGCATCAGTTGAGACTTGCTAATAAATTATGGTTTAAAAACAACAAAAAACCCTTTATGCCAGTGCCCTCTCAACATTGCTTTAAAAGTTACTGAACTGCACCCATACACTATGGCATTATTTGAATAAGAAGAAAATCTAGAAACTCAAACGTATGCAAATGCTACAATAAAATGCAAGAAACATGCCAAAATCCAAAGTAAAGCAGATTAGTAAGGAGTTACTAATTCCTTCCTTTCATTCATTAGGCTGTTTGAGTTTGCCACTAGTTTCACCAGCAGCATGTAAGCCTCTGTTATGCACCATAGGATAGGGAAAAGCTGCACTGCCACAAGTATAACTTAGATTTGCAAGCCGTGATAGAGCTTTAATGCTACCTGGAGGTCTGCCTGGGCTGACTTTGTATCCTGCTGCTTTAGTTGTACCCAAGGGTCTGCCTGGACTTGTCTTAAATCCAGCTGCTTTGGTGGTCCCCAGGGGTCGACCCGTGCTGGTTCGGTACCCTGCTGATTTTGTGGTCCCTGATGGCCTTCCACGTTTCCCGGATCGGTTGAGGTTTTTCTTTTTCTTTAGTTCGTCTTTTGTCTCTATATTCCTGCCGCTCGTGGTCTGCAGGTGTGATTCATTCAACGGGTCTTGTCTCTGGCATGCAATCGGTTTGTGGCTGACTGCGTGGCCGTATTTGCTTTGCTGCGTGGCGTACAAGTCAAACTGATCGGCAGACCTCACGGTGTCTTCGTTAAGGCAAGAGCTCTTGCCGGTCCCACAGAAAGCTGCATTACCGCTGGCGACAGGGTGCATCATTTTCTATCAAAAACAAGAGAGACAAATGTTTATCAGTATACAATAACGCTGCAGCGTTCCACATGAAAATCCTTGAAGAGTTACCTCTGTTTCCTGAAGTGAGCGCAAACCATTTTGTCTCTTTTCAGTAAACAGAATTGATGTCAGTAAATTACTTTTTTAAATGAAAAGTTTTAATAAGCTTTCATTTGAGGGTTTGACTGGTAACCCTCTACACACAGTTAAAAGCAACTATTTAAAATATGTATTATTCAGGTGGGTATAATTAGTGGAGAAGTACATTAAAGAACCGAACAAAAGTGTTTCAGCAACCAGAACATCTAATATCCACCCATTCTGATTTCAAAACCCTTCTAACCGAATCTCATCTAACTCCTAGCTGTTCCAGTTGCAAGATCAGCCTACCACCCAAGGAAAAATACCATCTCCTCCTGATTTAGCAGATCTAGGCTCCTTAAGATTTTGTTGTAAGTGCAGCAAATTAATACAACACTAATCAGTTTTGTTGCTTCTTCTCGCAATTATGTAAGAAACGGGTCAGACGCGCAGCTGGGGAAGCAAAGGCACGCAGTGAATCTTGCACAAAGCAGAAGATGCCAGACCACAGCAATGCCAACGCTGTCCCAGTTAGGTGAGCAGGTACAAAGTGACACAAAACTGTGCCCAGGATGTTGGGAAAAGCCATACAACTTGTCCTGATATCCATGTTACCATGCACCTCCCGGCATTGTGGGGAACAAATGTGACCCACCACGGCCAAGCACCGCTTTTACACAGCCTGTGCTTTATTGGTAGGCTACCACGGCTCGAGCTGTGCTCCATTTCGGAGGCTTGCTTGTTCAAACAAGACTCATCTCCAGGAGGCTGGGAGGGAGAGGCACCCGCACACTGCTGCATCACCCCGGGCCCGAGGGCCGGCCTGGCGGCACCCAGGCAAGGCCTCAGCCTGAACTACAGGCCGCTGCCTCCACACGGATCAGTTGTGCTACGAAATCCCTTCAGCACACGTACTGGGGCAGAGTCACAACAAATAATATTACTGCATTACTGGTGGTCTACAGCTTTTTGAGTATTAACGCTTGTAAATAGCAGCTGCACACACACTGCCTCACGTTCCCTACCCGTGGAGGTGGAAGGAGGCAGCGAGGCGCACCAGGAGGATCTCCTTCCTCGCTCAATTCGCCTGTGTTGGCTCCACAGCTCAAATAAGCTGAAAATACTCAGTCCAAGATAACATTTAACCATGCTGAAGACAAGATTAATGCAATCAATATCTGGCTCTTGAGAGAATTTCTGTGCCTCCCGGTCATGTTTAGGAGACTAAACATTTCTTGCTGTGGTAAATTTCTCTAGCAGATAAGGTCTGGAATATTCATGGTATTTTGCCCGCAGTAGATATGGAATATCACCTAGAACAACTACATCTAAAGTCTACCATTGATTAGGGAATTTATTTGGCAGTTGTGAAGGTCTCCTCCCAGCCAGAGGAAAAGAATACAACAGGAAGGGTCTGTTTACCCAGGAGTAAATCCCCATGCCCTTTCCTTCTGATTATAATAGTTACAGTCCCAGCTCTTACTCCCAATTCACCTTGGCCTGACAAACACATATTACAGCGTGTGCATTATTCCTGTGCAAATATCTGAACACAGTTTCATGACAAATAGTCAAATTGTAATAATAATATAATTTAAATAATAAATGGTACTAGTGGAGATTATCCACGTGCTACAGTTCTGAATGTTGAGTGGGGCTATGGTAGAACAAATACGAACCCACTGTTATTGCAGGTGTTGACTAGCAAGTGAAACAACTAAGAATAATTTGCAAGCCTGCATTTAGCAAAGAACAAAGAAAGTAAGATACAGGTCGAGAGACCAAGCAGACTTTTTGGTGCAGCAATAAAAATGGAACTTAATCTTAGGTAGCAGTCAAGAAAACATTACCTTCCTTTAACCCCGCTACAGCCCACAAAGTCACGACAAATACCTGAGATTTTTTACAATATGTAATTACAAACATAAGGGTTTCATGGTAATGTATTTTTACTGAGGACAGGGTATACAGAGCGACTGAAAGGCTATTCAGCTGTTTGCTGATACACTTGAGGACGCTCAGAGCAGTTAGTTCTAGGCTCAGTGCTCACTTAAAACACCAGAATACTGTCTTTGGCCCCAAAAAGCTGCTCCAAACTCAACTGCCACAAGGCCAATCAGTTCAGCTGCCCAGTGTCTGAGGGAACACACCAGACCAGGGAGGAGGCACTGAACAATGCAGGGCCCTCGAGGTTCCTCAGCAGACTGCCCACCTTCCAGATTCACTCCTGTCTATGCCAGTGTTCTTATTCGCTGCTTTTTCTCCTCATCACAACCAGATGGATTTTTCCTATTGATGAAATCATCCACCTTGCCTGGGGAGAACCATGGCAGGTCCTCAGATCCCAGGAAGGCATCCTGTTGGACCTGCCAGACCCTAGGTTTCAGCACCATACCCGTGTGTTTGTGTGCGTGTCTGCCACGACAGCCCTGACAAACGCTGCCGGGACGTACAGAACTTGGCCGACGCTGGTTTACCTTGCATCTGGTGGCAGTCTGCATCACTGTCACTGACAGGGAAGGAAGAATAAATCACTAACTGTCTAACATTTCTTACAAGAGGAGGAAGCTTAAAAAAAATACAGCCTGTGAAAAACTGACAACGTTTTTTTTAATATTTGTTTTTCTCTAGGTCATTTTCTATCAAATCATGAAAATTTCAAGTAGTATTTCAAAGCTTATGCTCTCTGATTTTGTTTTAAGACATTTTAATGAAAAGTTTTAGAAATCTTTATTTTAGTTACATTAACACGGACACCTCCAGCATATTTTTCTTCATTCTTGTTACAGTTGGGAATAAAAAGTAGGCACACTGCATGAGTCTATCAGCAGAGTGGAAGCAGGCTTCTTGGCAGGGGTACGCACAGTATAAACAAGGATTGGTATAAAATGCAAAGCTATGCCAGTTTAAAAATCCCACTCTAGCTAAATTGTATAGCCAAACGCACACAACTTTGTGTCCAAGCATTCTTCAGTAAAACCAGCCAGAAAAGTTTCCAATGAAACAAAACTTACTTGTTTTAAACCTGTAAATAGATATGTAAAAGATACTTGCAACAGTTTACTTAAATCAGTTTTAAAACCGGTTGGATGTCTCCACATAAACAAATAGTTAAGATGAGGCACTGTAGTAAACAAATTTGGTTGCATTTTGAGAAGATTTTTACTGGAAAGCGGCTGCAGAGGGTTTTCTGTTTGGATCTTTTTCTATCTGGTAATCTATTTTCATAGAAATGCTTAGGAAGGGAGGAGACAACTGGATAAACTAGGTTTGGAAAAAGAAAGGCAGTGTTAGAGCTTCCTGTGCAACGAAGCACAGGAGCTCCATGGCTGCTAGAACGAAGAAAGAAATGGGACCATCCATCTGGGACCTGCAAGGTTTTGCTGCAGGGGGACCAGAGGGCCACGGTAATGACCCCACTTTTGCAGTATCGCTGCATCCCCACTCTTCTGAGTACCTGCAAAGTTAATTGCGTTAGCACTCTTGAGGTGAGCCTGCAGTTTTGTTTTGCTCGCAGTGCTCATCAGTCAATACACAATGTATGAGGCTGCCCTGAGGATTTTTGTAGCTCACAGTCAACCTCTTGCTCTTTTCTGCTGGGAGATGAAAACAGAAGCCATATTAAAGGCAAAGCAGACAAAAAGAATCTTAAGAAATGTCACCTGATTCCAACGATACTGTGACTCTTGGATAGAGAGAAAGAGTGCTTCCTTTTGCCCCTAAGCACAGATTAACATACAGCACATTTCTAGCTTACAACTGCTAAGGCTTCTTTTACTGGTACAGCCCATCCCTCCCTCAGCTTGAAACTATGCCAAAAAAAAAAAAAAATAACAACCACACAACAACCATGTTCTGTTTGCTATACAAGACTTTAAGACCAAAACGAGTCAAGTCTAGATGCATAAAACACCCTTCTTGGGCTATCACCCCCTTCCTGTGCCTTCCTCGTGGTCGGCACAGGCCAGATGGCAGCTCCCAAGAGCAGAGAAAGTACAAAAGCTGACTGCAAACAGGCACTCAAACATCAAGTATTTTATAAAGTCCTGGAGCTGCGACCTGGTATCTGCATTAAACAGAACAACCCATTCCAGCAGGGGAAGCAGGCAGCCCCTCCAGTCTCACCCTCGCCTGCTTTCTGCAAGGGCAGCCTGGCTCGCACCAGAGCAGACCTGGCTCTCTGCAAGCGCTGCTGGCTGCTGCTGAAATGTGCTTTGAATCAGAGCCTCTGAACAAAACTGGAAGCACACCTCCAGCTTTTCAAATGACGATACCAGGAGAGGTAAACTCCTACTGCCAACAGGAACAATTTTGATTTTAGTAAGAGCGAGCGTAGAAAACCCACTCCTATTTCTGCGATTTTCCACAGCTGAGGTTGCAATGGCTTCAACAGCACCGACGGAGCTGTAGGAGACCGTACCAGCACCTTTTCATCATCCTCCAGCCCTCCTTACAGCAAATCCACATAAAGTACATGACATCGCACTCAGCAACAGAAGCATTATTTCTGTACTGGCACCCTGCACGTCACTCCTACCAATTAAAATAGTTGGAGGGAAGCACAGGACCAACTCTGTTCAAGCTCCCTGCATAAAGAGAGCTCTATGCCACGTCCAGCAGCACAGGGGCTGCAGGCTCCGGGGAATGCCAAAGGGCTCCTTTTTGCTGCGGGGGGAAGCTGAAGAAGCCAGAGCACAGACATTTTGCCTTTGCAGACTGCGGCAGAGATACAGTATTGCTTTCGCTCCTCCCTCTCAGGATAGTGGGTGGGAGAAATATACTTTCATCAGTCAGTAGAAAGGATGAATTATATCACATTAAACAATTTTCAAGTGGTGCTTTTATCGTCAGCCCCTTTCCTACGTGTTAACTATCACTAAAATATGGCCTCGCCTGATTTTTAAAAAACCCGCAGCTGCTTGTTTTCAAAATACTGCACCTGGAGTATCCCCATAAATGTAAATATTTTAAAAACACTAAATAAGAAACCCTATCAGTGTCACAACGTATACCATAACATCTGAACCTACATTTGAAATATAATCTACTTCTGATACTAGGTAAGCGGCTCCTCTAACCCGTGCTTATGAAGGGCTTCCCAGCGTTGATCACGTAATAGGATTTTTCTCATCTGATGAGGTAAAATATATTAAAATCAGCCCCAATATAAGACAATTTCTTTACACAAGTGGTTTGCTAGAACTGGTGCAATAACACGAGGCTGCAAATAGGAGAGAAAACGTAATTTGGGGCACAATGTCTGTCTCAGTTACTCTTTGTGCAAAAAGATGGAGGAACAAAGGATTCCCCATGCAACACGAGAAATCACAAGCACGGTCCTTTCTCTGATGACCAAAGGCCATTTTCTTACATAACCGTGAAGAACGGCCAAAGGTGGGTGACGGAAGCTGAGGGAAGAGCTGTGGGGGCACACAAACCATCCCCTCACAGCCCCCGCTCCAGACCCCAAGCAGCAGCCTCCAAGGTGCCCTCTAAGGGAACTCCGCGCACAGGCCCGGGCCAGTTTCTGCCCCCTGTGTGCACGCAGGGATCAGAGGGCCCATGGCCTCTCTTATCGACATCAAGACACCCTGAGGGCCCTCCCTGGAGCCGAGAATAAATAACGTGCACATGGGGAACCCCGGTGTGAGCGGTGTCCTGGTGGCAGCAGCTCTGGCCCCGCAGCTCTGCCCCGGGCCTGCACGGCGGGTGTGGAAATGCCCAGCTGAAAACATGGAGGTAAAGGATCGGCACACTTCTCACACGTGGAATGCTCTAGATGTGTGACTGGAGTCAATGAAAGCTGCTTTTGTTCGCTACAATGCGAGCTCAAAAGCTTACAATACCCGGTGGTAAGAGGAAATAAGTCTTGGGGACCCCTGGAGAAGCAGAGCTCCCCAGAGCCTGAACACCACCCTGGTGCCGTACACGGAGGTCAGCGCTGCCCCCACAAAGATCAGATAGTCACGCACTAACGAGGCTAATGGTGAGCCTTTAGATACCAGGATTTGATTGCAAAACCTGGCAAACAAGTAACTGTCAGGCTCTCCAGCCTTAAAAACCACTCGAGGCATACCTACGGGCTGTTTCGGCACATGCCAACATCAGCAAGAATGTCAGCTGACTTTTTTTCCACCCAGAAATTAAGGTCAGGTAACCACGGAGCGATGTGACGAGGAGAAACAGGACACTTAAAAGGGTAAAGACGGGTCCACAAAAATCGAGGAGGGCCATGTCAATGATCTCGTTAACCATGCACCGCCAATTACACCGACACAACCGCCCGCTTGGTTTCATAATCAACAGAAACCGCTCTGAATCCACAGCTTTTCTGAACAGGATAATCTTGCCCTTTCCTCCTCTCCCACATTCCCATTCCTTGTGCCAACACTAACTATTGTGCAAGAGCAGGACGAGCCAATACCCAGGTGAAAAACAATCCGGCGAGGACGAAAAAACAACAGTTGGCTGGCACTGGGGCAGGAGAGGAGGAACAGGAACACAATTTTCATCGGCACAGACTGAAGGCCTAGGTTAGCCTACATCACGTTACCTACTGTCTACCCCCTTAGCCTCATTAAGTTAAAAAGCTAGCCAGACCTCAAAAATTTGACTTTTTGACAACACAATGAACTCAGAAGGCGTTCATGAAGGGTACGGACAAGTCCTGAACACAGCACAGAGAGCAGAGGCTGAGGAAAAGCAAAGCCACAGCTGGGATGGGGCCACAGAGGATGGAGGCAGCCATCAGGCCAGACAGGCTGGCTTGGAGGAGCGAGGTTGTGAAGCTGCACCCTGATTATCCTGCGGTTCTGTAATTACCCAACTTCAAGGCAAGTCAAATATGCATATGAATGACGGGGCAGGTAGAGGTACATCTTTCCTTTTTTCCAGAAAGAATTACGGGCGTTTGTAAAATTGTCCGTTCATCTGGAGGAGCCGTTCCCAGGTAACACGGCGCAGAGCTCGCCATCGCCTACAAGCAGGGCTTTGAGGAGCAGGAGGTGGTTCTTCATCTCCCTGGGTGTTCTCACCCACCCGCTCCTCTCCCCAGGGAACAGAACAACAGCTCCGAGAGGCAAGAGGTGCTCATTCATCTCCGTGGGTGTTCTCACCTACCCTCTCCTCCTTCCCCAACCTCCTCCCACAAAAGGGTTTAAAGCTTAGGAGAGGGCTCAGACACCTCCTTGTCCTGGCGCTGAGGTCCCGATGGGCACCTCCGTGGGGTCAGTGCAAAAGCTCCGGACCCCCACCAACACACCCAGACACTGCCACCGCAATGCACGAGAGCAAAAGGACAAAGTCCACTTGTTGAACCTCGTCAACAGCAGACACTGGACAAAGATGCGGGGTTTTCTGGTTACGGTTGCACCTAAAAATTAAGAATATAGACCAAAAAAAATATATAATAATAATAATAATAGTTCTATGAGAAACCCTGGTATTTAAAAATTGAAATATGAATGAGATGTTATTTTAAAAATGGATTAAACACAGAGGATTCCTCGCCTTCCTTTATTTTGAAAAAAACACACCGCATGGATCAACATAACTGTTGCTTTCTTTAGCCAGCCAGCCAGGGCGCACCGCACGCCAATTAAAGGCGCAACTCCTCGCTAATTAATTAAGGGCCACGCAGCGAGCAGGATGCACCCAACTCCTTGCAACTCCAAGCACAGCGCACCGGGGGCTCCACCCGGGGGGCTCCAGCCCCCCGCGGGGAACTGAAGCCCCCGGGGATCGGGGATTTGGGGGGGGGGAGGCGAGGCCGGAGCCCGCCGGGGGCCGGGCGAGGGCTGCGGGGAGACAAAAGCGCCGCAGCCCCGGGCGTGCGGGGGGCTCGGAGGGGCTGGCTCCAGCCACCACCTGCCGCAGGGCGCTGCCACCGGCCCAGTATAACCCAGTACAACCCAGTATAACCCAGTATAACCCAGTACAACCCGGTATAGCCCGGTATAGCCCGGTACAGCCCGGTACGGCTCCCCCCTGCCCCGCCCGGCACAGGGCGGCGATGGCGCTGCGGGGCCGAGCCCGTCCATCCGCGTTCCCCCCCCCCAAGGTCCCCGAGCACAGCGCGGCCCCGCTCCGCTCCTCTCCTCTCCGCTCCCCTCCCCCCGGTCTCCATCTTGCCCGCCCGCCCGCACCGGGCCGGGGCTCGCCGTGGCCGTAGGGGGGGGAGCGGCCCGCACCTACCTGCGGGGGGGCGGCGCGGCCTGAGGCGCCTGCGGGGCTCCGGGCTCCGGGCTCCGGGCTCGGGGCGGTGGCAGCGGGCGGCCGCCGGCCTCCCCCCCACGCTCCCCGCTGCAGGGAGCGGCGCTGCGGCGGCGGCGGGCGCGGGCACGGGCACGGGCGGGCGGCAGGAGCGCGCTCCCGAGCGGGGCCGCGCCGCGGGGGCGCGCCGCGAGGTGGCGCGGGGAAGGGAGGGGCGAGGAGGGAGGAGGGAGAGGGGCGGGAGCGGCCCCGCCACCATTTCCTGGCCGTGAGGGGCCGGGGATGGGGCTGTGAGGAGGGGGGGGGGGAGGTCGCCATAAAGGCAGCGGGCGCGGGTTCAGCCTGCCTCAGAGGGGATCCGCGGGCACCTCAGCACCGGCTGCAAAGAAATGCTGCTGGTTATTAGGTGTTGCACCCTACTTCATGCGCCTGGACTCTAAAAGAGTTTAATAAAGAGTTTTAAGGCTTTGTAAACGGGGCTTTCTGCCTTTGAGCAACACTACCCAAAGGGTTCTGACAGAAAGCGGAGGTGGAAGTGCCCAGCACGTCTCGCAGCCTGACCTTCTGCCGTCAAGGTCAGGTACAATGACACAGTGCCATAGCCCGCTTTTTGGAGGGTTATCACCAACAGTTGTTTTTTTTTGTTTTGTTTTGTTTTTAAATCTGCATCGTTAATGGTTGTAACAGCAACAGTGCCATTCAGCCCAAACCTTCCTGCCCCCATTAGTGTCCTTGGGCCCCGATAGCAGCTTCCAAATCCCAGGTTCTAAATCACCGCGTACATCCCCAAACAGCACCTGGACGAGTGCTGTGAGGGGCTCAGTGTTACTCAGATGGAGTCTTAGAAAGACCAAGAAAGATCAGACCAAAACAAAACAAAACGGCAGCTTTTGCAAGTGTCTAATTCAGTTTTTCTAAATATTTTCCTCTCCCGCTGCTGTTTGAGGAGCTGAACGCTGTGCTCCAACCCTGCGATATTCCATTCTTACAATACTCAGAGCTCTTCAGGCCAAAAACTGCTGTGAAACATCCTGCCAAGACGCTGGCTCATTTTTTCACCACTGCTTCCTAACGCACACAGGAATTCTCACTTTCAATATAAAAAAAGCAGCAGGGAAAACACCCTTTAATTTAGCAGATGATTCAATTTATCGATGAACATCTGCCTGTTTTTAACTTGTTTTGGGAACACCACTGCAAATCCAGTGTGGTAGTTTGAGAACCTCTGTTATTGTAATATATTAATACAGACGGCGAGGGGAGTCAGGCCATGCTCGGGCTCCTGCTTTATTCAGAAAAAATTGTGATCTGAACAGAAATGCTCCTATATCACACACCAGTGAACCTGTAATTCGAAACAGGGAAGGTTTCCTCGCAAGGAGCTGTGAAACCCGAATCGGGCGGTGGTTGGGGCTATCGCTGGGAGAGCCAGCGCTAAACGTTTGACCTCAGAGCTGGAAGCGCCTTTGTGCGGGGCCGTGCCTGCATTGTGCTCTGGGCAAACTGATTCCAGATGAGGCAACGCCAGTGCCCACGGTGCTCAAATATTAATTTGGTAGCTACAGGGTCCGGTTTCCTCATCTGCACACTGCTAATAAAAACAGCAACCAAAAAGATGATAAATTTGTCTGTGATTCGTTTGGTGAAATCTCCCTGGGGCCCGAAGCATGGCCATTACACATACTGGGAATTTGCTTCCCCCTTTTTTTCCATAACGGACTATTATCGCTAGCAATAGCAGATGATTACATTAATTACCTCTAAGGTAGAAGATGCAATGAAACACTGCCCTCCCTACAGCCAGAGTGCAAAATCCCCTTCTCCTCCTCCTGCACCAGGTCCTTTGGTGGAGCCAAATTCTCAAGGAGACGAAAGGCCCAAGGGCACAAGTTCCTCCTGCTGCCAGCACAGAGGCTCACAGGAGCTTGGTGCCATCCTCAGCAACAACAGGGGATGCCAAGCAAGCTGTGACATTGCAGGAACTTTACTGCCAGGACCAACAGCCTATTAAACAATAAGATGTTGGAGCTGGTCACTTCTATAAATTCACTTGCTCGCTAACATACACAGTCAGAGGAAATGTATGTTTTAGTTAAGATTAAGGATTTTCCGTAAGTGTAACAGTTTCCTTGGTAGGCAGTTAGTTTCAGAGCACTTGCCCAGTCCTATTGTTCTGAAAAATGTTTGGGATGATAAACTTCATATTTAGCATGGTCAGAGTATATAATAATTTAAGAATCATATTAATAACCTGCTATGGAGGGAGCATAATTTCTTAGCTCACTACAGCTAATTATTTCTGAGCTACTAATTAATTTACCTCTGTTTATGCTGGTCAGCTTGACAATTTTGTATCTCGGTATGAATAAAGAAAAATATTTAAATTTGTTTCAGATGAGAAGCCTCAGCGAAGCAATGTTTGGGTGGCAATCACTCAGAGTAAGAGTCATTTATTTAAAAACAATTGTTTCCACTGTAGCTAAAAATATCAAAACAAATCTTCTTGTCCAGTATTGTATAAACATTTTACAAAATGTACATTTTTGGGACAAATTTGAGTGCAGCTGGGTGCCTTTTATCTTTACATTTCTAAGTTGTTCTCCGCCTCTGCTCCCCCCGTGCAACCACAGTTAGCTGGAGCCAGAATTTCTTCTGCAAACGCCTGAGCTCTAAGAACACGAACTTGTTTAAGCCAAGACCATATTTGGAAGAGATCTGGGTCAAGAAAAATAATCAAAAGGAAAGTGCATTCCTTGGGCATCACGTGAGGTCAGCACGCGCGCACACATCCCGCTCGCAGGATCAGAAGCAGCGAAGGGACCGCGCACGACGCTCACAAATAACTCACCGCGAGAAGACTTGTGGCAAGGGCTGGTTTTGCACCAGCACTCACATGCTGAGAACCACCTCCACATATCACTTAAAGGGCATTCAGGCTGACTTAGAAAATGCTGTAAAAGAGGTGCACAGCAACAGAGCACCAAGAGCCTGAGCCCATGGCAGAAATTTTAAACTAACTCTGAGAGCTCCACAGGCCACATTCCCAGATACACGTTCCTGTTTCTTTAACCCTGTTCTACTGAAGTAACAGCAGTTTCTCATAGGCAAAAACCCATTCATGACCCAAAATCAAATTATTTCTTTCATTTACCCACCCAAAATACTGTTCCCTGTTTACTGAAGCACTGGCTAACCTACAAAGCCAGGACCATATCACCTTGGGCAGGTGACAGAACAAACTCTGCCCGTACATATATATATATTAAGAAATACATAAAATACAGCACCCCTCTGCTCTTCCAACAACTGGTGACAGGAATCTGTCCAGGGCCACTTCCCTGGAAAACAGCGAAATGGCAATGTTTCTAAAGCTCTCATCTATATTCCTGGACGCACATGGAAAGATAAATAAAATATAAAAATGTAACATTTTTTTTTAGTACTTAAAATTCTCTCTTCTCCCAATTTTCATTCTCATTTGTTTTCACTATTTTTTTCCTTGTGTACTTGTTAATTTGGGAGTTTCTTTCTCCTGGCTTTTGGCTTTTGTTTTCATGTATTCAAACACCTTTACTGCAACTTTTTCACAGCAGCAGCTCATTAACTGAGTCTGATATGCATCTTCTTGTATTTCTAGCAGAAAATGACAAGTGATAGTTACTATACATTCTTTCTACTCCAAAAAGTGTAAGGCTAACTCATAGAAAAATGCAGAAGCAAGATAAGAGCATAAACCAGAAGTTATTCATAAAGACAGTTTCTGAAAAATATACATTGAAATTATTTTTATTTTTGCTGGAATTTAAAAAACATAGGAATATTGACATTGCATTTAAAAACCCCAGGAAGATAAAGATTACACATTGTTTCATCTCTGAAATCCAACAGTGCAAAGCTGGAAATCATAAGAATGTCTCCATCATGCCTTTTGTTTTTTTTTTAGGAGATACCAATATATATATATGAACATTTTGAAACAAGATTTTAAAAGAAATGTCAGACTGTCCAAACTTGAAAGTGCTCTTCACTACATACATCAATATCTGTCGCTCTTCTGGGGGGATGCTGTCAAAAAGACAATTCACCAAACTAGTTGTATGAAACATATCAAAACCCACTTTTTAACAGAAGGAAAACTGATGGATTTAAAGGGAACCACAGATTTTTACCTTAGAGATTCCTGTTTGAAATTTTGAAATACATTATTGTGTGTGCTTCTCTTTGTCGAACTTAAGGACTTATTTGTATTAACATTGTCAAGTACTACATTAGGGGTGTTTTTATCCTCAATGCGTACTGCTAATTTGGTACAATCATTACTTTCCTGTACTGAAAGTAAGATACACTCACGCTAGAATAACCGACAGTTGTATGCAAACAGAAATGGCCATTTAAATTACATGAAGTTTGGAAACAGAAGTTCTAAATTTACACAGTTATGATGCAGGTTGGCTGATTTGTCTTCACCAGGGGTAAAGCAGTATATACATGGCTATTTTAAAATGACACATTTCTTCTCAATGTGTCAGGTAAGAAAAGCTTTCTACAAAAGTCCTTTTGAAAGTCATCATCTCGAAAGTCTTGCAGCTGCCAGAATAAGACGATTCAAATTGCTACTGCTTATGCTCCAGGTAAGTAGACACATGAAAGTTAAAAGAGCAAGGAAGTCTCCATCATGACTACTAATGGTTATGGGGATGAGACCTCAAAAAGAAAGGTCTTGCCTGTCCCAGTAACGTGGTAGCTTATTGACTGCAGTGATAGTCAATATCTGCGGAATTGACTCAGAAATAGTTATCAATTTTTACTTAAAGCCATGTCCTAACAGTAATAAAGACAACAACCCTGGGGACAATCACGTTAAATGTATATATAAGAACACTATAAAAAGTGACAAAGTCCTATATTCATTACAAAAGAGGTTTTCCTTTTTTTTTTTTCTATTTCTTTTTGAACTAAACAGGCTTTCATTCTTATGTCAGAGAATGAAGAAAAAATTCAAATCCTAAAATTCTGATGTTTAGAAAAGATGTGGAAATTATTTTCATACTAAAAAACATTTCACTTTACAAAAAAAAAAAAAAAAGGAAAAAAGAAAACAAAAGCAAAGAGTTATTCTATTACCTGGATGAGAAAGACAAAACGGGAGCTGAAAGGGATGAGTAGATCTTAAAACCAGACCTCAAGTATTTC